GCTAGTTGGCTGACGGTAGGTCTGCTGTACCAGAGACGTGGTCCATGTAGCAAAGGGGTGGCCATGGAACTCGGAGGCTTGCGCCTCGAATTAGTCACACAGACGCAGAGGAGGACGAATAACGCCTCGAGTAGGACAGATGTTTTGGCAGGAGTCGAGTCAAATAGGTGAACAAGGGACGGATTTTACGATGCAAGAGAGAGACTGGCATAAGACTAGGAAAAAGGACTGCATAATAATAAAACAGATTCTGATCAACATTCCCTGCACAAAGATGAAACGGAGGGGGGGGGGAGAACGACAGTTGGAGTGTGAAGGTTTCATGTCGCTCAAAGGAGCACATTAAACTATATCTAAATAAACATGGTAAAATTGTAATGGTGAAGGCATGATAGGATGCCACCGGAAACGCGAATGATCCAGGGCAGAAGGGGAGATACCACAATTGTTTAGCACACATTTGGTCAATGCTTCGGCTTCACTTGTCTCTTTGACGAGTTGTTGTATGATGCTATGAATGGCGATACTCACTGACGATGTTGACGAAACGGTTGGGAATGTATTACGTCCACGGTTCAACTTTGGAGATGATGATGCATACAATGGACTCCGGACTAGGTGCGTTCGTCTAATTCTACCTATCAATATGATCATGTTGCGAAAACTAGGTCAAACAGCCTCAATAAAGTCATTAATTTATGCAGTATATCTGTAGATGCTAATGTTACGCTCATCTTGGAAAGGGGCTTAAACTTTACATTTCCAAATGAGCAAAATCATACTAGCAAGGTACTGGTTGACTCAATTATCTTAACGGACAAGCTACCAGAAGAGGCTATGAATAGTATAGAAAGAGAAGTAAATCCTCATTTTGATGAAGTAATTGTTCCAAAGAAATTGTATGAGTTGAATAAAGTTTCTAGATATTTGCACCAAAAGGATCGGTTTGTTTTAAAGGCAGATTAAGGTGGTGCAGTGGACATCATGGATAGGTTAAGTTATATGGAAAAAATGATGGTTCATATTAATGACTCGGAAACTTACAAACTTTTAGTGAAGGATCCACAGAAAGTCTTAAGGCCAGAGTTAGGTAATCGTTTAACGTTTGTGTAAGCAAAGGAGAAATTGAGAAGTGGAAAATGCATTTACTTCTTTATAGTGATGCAATGGCACCTTCGGCTTAAGGCCTTCCAAAAATACACAAAAGAGGAGTTCCTTTAAGATTGATTGTTAACTACAGTGGAACTGTGATGCATAGGATCTAACGTTTCTTATTGGAAATATTCAGTGAAGAATTCATATGAATTCGGTAGATTAATAGATCAACAGAGTATTGAAGAGGAGGATCTTTGGGTTAGTCTTGATGTGGTATCAATGCATACTAACATCCCAGTTCATAAAGCTATTGAAGCACTAACACTCAGCTCAGATGAGCACCCAGAAAAAATTGGGAAGCAAATCTGAGCAAAAGCTCAATCGTAAGGCTTTTGAATCTATCCATGAGCAGTACATAATTTACCTTTAATGGTAAGGTTATGAGCAAGTGCAAGGATTAACAATGGGATCAAGCTTGGCTCCCATTTTAGCTAATAATTGCACGTCAAGAATGGAGGAACACTTCATGGAAGAGGTAAGATTGACATATACGAAGAAAAGTTGGGTTTCGAGGACTCTCTTGTTTCATAATTGTTGAGCTTACTTCCGTTTCGAGTGAAAGTGTTAAGTGAAAAGATTCGAAGGTCGGTTCCACCAGAAGACGACGGCGGATTTCTCTTGACCAGCTGTCGATTGGCTTTACTGGAACATTCATGCTGACGCCGTTTCCAAGGCAATTGCCTTCGATTCCAGTGAAAATGTGCTAAGCTTTTGTGCGTCATATGACGGACATCATCAGAGCGGGGTAACATAGTCACTACAAAATTGAAGCTAACGAGTCAACGGACGAAAGCTTAGCACCATTTTACCGGAATGGAAAGAGATTGCCTTGGAAACATCATCAGCCTTAATGTTCCAGTAAAGCCAATCGACAGCTGGTCAAGTGGAATCCGCCGTCGTCTTCTGGTGGAATCGACCTTCGAATCTCT